GCTAGATAAACTCTGCTTACATATATATTTAGATTTAGCGCGTCGATACGTATAAATTTCACACATACTTAGATATGTACATTGTTTTTCTCATATGTATTTTGATGCCGACCAGTGTGATGTAAGTAGATGAAATCCGATTGAGTCTCGTTATTACACTATATTTGTATGTACGTAGGTCCGCAATTGCAGTCATCAACTATGTAACGGAAATCTGTAGATGTGTGTAGTATGCATGTTAAGAGTTATTACCAATCTAGCGACCCCCGTTTACTTTCTGCGGGTTAAATTTACCAAACTGACATCTAGATGGCGCGTTACAAGAGTGATGTGTTTTTTTATTACAATTTGGAAATTTTATTTAATTTGATTCTCATATTTACTAAATATTTTTTTCATATTTATTGTTGCAGTTAATTCTTTAATTTGGAGACACAGTCGAAAGAAAAAAAAGCTGGTATACACCTCGGCGATGTGTATATAACTTAAACTTAGTACCTGGACGTAAGCAACACTTTTACTCAGCTGTTTGTATTTTCAATATATATAAGTACATATGTAGGAATGTGTGTTTTCTATTTTCTTAGTTAAAAATATCTAAAGAAAACACTAATAGAAATACCTGTAAAGAGTATTTTGTGTATGTGGTGAGAATGGGAACTAAAATGATATTGAGTCTGGGCGTGAAAATTTTATAAAATATACTTTAACTTGCTCAAAAATTAAAATTTTTATAAACTTTAACAATTTTTTGTACTTGACGTGAATTCCTTTCATACAGATGAATGCAATAAGTTTCTACTCGGCGGCGTTGTGTAATTTACTTTTACTTGTTTAACTGCTGACCTGATAGGTAAGTTACATGTTCATTGGTATATTTTGAGATATTAAAATTACAGAGACAAATTCTGTGAATCAACGCTACGATGTACATCCAGATTTGTCAAATAATTTACACATAGCAAATCTCTAGGAGACAAAAAAAAAACAAATTTTTATGCAGAAAATTCGATATTGTCGTTGTAGCGGCAGAATCCTGCAGAGTTGCAGGTCTTGGATAGAAAGTATGTTTAGTTTTATTTAAAATAATAAATAGGTTAATTTTCTTTTATTTGGGTTAAAATATTCAGTAAAACCTGTTTAGCACTGTTAAATACTTTGGTCCACTGGCTGTAATACTGAGGTCATATTGGGAGGAAATAAACAAGATCTATATTTTTATACACTCGCAACATAAGACTAAGGGATGATACAGAGTATAATAGTTTTGTTCCCCAACGGTTCTTTGTACTACCTAAAACCAATCAAGATAGATATAAAATTATTTATACAAGTGTATGTATGTATATTAAAGTGTATGTATGTATATTAATGATCAGGATGCAAAATTGTAATTTGGTACAGCGAATCACAGTAGGCAGAGACATCTGTGGTTTGATAATTTTTAAAAAGTGGACGTGGCGCCGCCTCTGAGTTTAATATACATATATTACAAAACACCAAAGCTGTTATTCAGGCTTATAATTTTTAATTAGTTAGAATCAGGGTGCCAAATAATGCATTCAAAAAACAATTGAATTCAATTTTTTTTATTTAGTAATCCCAAATACGGTATTATATAATTCCACATACCTGATTAAAAAATAAAAATGAAAGTTTTAGTTTACCATATTACTTTTTTCAAATGAAAAAAGAATATTTTTATTTTTTAATCCCCACATCGCGACCATCATACATATATATCTTCAGAGCGGGGTAATACGTTATATACGTATGTATGTATGTATTTTTATCAATAAAAAGTAATAAGTAAAAAGAACAAGAAATTCACAGACTCTTAAATGAAACATTTCCAAATAAAGTAGGGTAAAAAGACAAGAGACACATGCACATAATAAAAGTCAATAACTTGCAATTATATTATATAAACTGTCTCCTCAGAACAAAGGAAGTTGTCATTCCCTGTATGAGTGGCAAAGGACTGTATGATATATACATGCATACGTGTTTGTGGAGTTTTATCATTTTTAATGAAACAAAGACAATTCTAAGCGAGTAAAGGCTTTCTAACAAGCGAGCACGTTGCTGTTAGTAGATATTCCTATAGCTCTGAAATTAAGAGAAAGATACAAGGTGCGTTCCAAAGTAAACAGGACTTTAAAAAAAAGACAGAACAAATGGTTTTATCGGCAAAATCAATTAATTTTATTCAAAATAGTCTCCTACCGCTTTAATACAGCTTTTTGCACGGTTTTTTCCGAAAAGGTAGAAGTCGCACGGTGCCATATCAGGTGAACACGGGGAGTGGTTGATTGTTAAAATTTGATTTTTGGTCAAATAATCGGCCACAAGCGTCGATCGATGAGACGGCGCATTATCGTGCAACAAACGCCAACTTCCATCTTCGCGATATTTGGACCGAACACCTCGATTACGGCGCACAAAACGCTTCACAACTCCAAGGTAGAATACCACATTAACGTTTTGGCCGGGTGGAACAAGTTCTTTGGGGACAATACCCTTCGAATCATAAAAATAAGTCAGCATTGTCTTCACTTTTGACTGCTCCAGGCGCGATTTTTTGGGTTCATGTTCATCGTCATTTATGTCCTCACGACCACTTTGAAAACGTTGAAACCACTCGTGCATTCTGCTACGGGATAGGCAATCATCGCCATAAACTTGTTTCATCAATTGAAACGTTTCGGTAAAAGTTTTACCAATTTTAAAACAAAATTTAATGTTGGCTCTTTGTTCGAAGCTCATTTTCGCACTGATGACAAAAACATAATGACACTTAAAACGCGATAACTTCACTTCCAATAGATGAAATGTCATGAAATTTTTACTCGAAGTCGATAAAGGATAGCAGATTCTAACGCACTAGTCGACATATAGATGGCGCCACTAGAGTTTACTTTGTTACTTTTGTCCTGTTTACTTTGGATGGCACTTTGTATATCTTAATTTGGTGCTTAGTTATGGCACTTTAAACATTTTGTGGGCGTGGCAATGGTCCGATTCCGCCCATTTGATACCAACCTCTCTTGGGGGCCAAGGAATATGTGTACCAAGTTTTATCAAGATTCCTAAATGTTTACTCAAGTTATAGCTTGCACGGACAGATAGTCGCTCGGAATTCAACTCGTCTCGTCATCCTGATCATTTATATACATATATATAACTCGATATCTATCTCGATTAGTTTCAGGTGATACAAACAACCGTTAGGTGAACAAAACTATTATACTCTGTAGCGACATGTTGCAAGAGTATAAAAGATGTTGCGAAAGAACTTTCATCATAAGCATTCATTACTCGACGAAACCTTGAATGGATTATAATAAAAATTGATATTGTTTTAAGTTATCTTATAGGTCATAGACTTACTTAGTTTTATTCACATCAACTAAAATTATATTAAAATCATTTTCAAATAAGATAAATGTTATATAAATCCAACCGAAGAGGCTAAATTTAATATATTGATATGAAGTGGAAAATGTCAAACAGAGGAAGGGAATTCAATATATTAGGGATATGAGGTTAATACCAAGGTTTACACCAAATCTTTACGCGTTAAACCATTAATATAATTTTGAAGAAAACTTGTCCACTTAATTTCATTAAAGAATCCCACATTTTGACTAACCTAAAAGGTTTATAGACAGCTGGAAAGTTGGAAATCACTATACAGCGTATATTGAGGGCAGATAAAGGTCTATGCTTGTTGCATTAACCTTTGATATTGTTAAGGTATACTCGAGAACATATTTCCAAGCAATTTTATAAATAAATAACTCACACACTGACAGACATATTCGGCATAAGGTTTGTAAAAATAGGTTTGTATACTAAATCCACATTTTTTCGGCTAGTTTGAGGCACGCAGAAAAACACGCTCACTTAATCGTATAAAAATAATTCAAATAGTAAATGCAAAGTCAAAAAATCAGCTGGAATTTAAACTTGTGTTATATGGAAAGTAGGCGTGCTTGTGATCCTATTTCGCCCCCTTTCGCACTGTAACCTAGGAATGTCAGAAGAATGTTATATACCGAATTTGGTTGAGATGAGTTCCCGAGATATGGAATCCTTTTCACCTTCCTTAGGGTGGGCCACGCCCATTGTCCAAATTTTGTATTGGTTGCAAAAAAAAAATAATTGTACCATCCTATGTTTAAAATTTACAGTTTCGTGCTTATTTAATGACATTAATTTTAGGGAGTGGGCCGGATTTTCACCCGATTTCAACCATTTTTACACCGTCGGGAGGGGTGCTAAACAGATTATTATAGCTTTTTTCCTCAGGAGATTTGCCCATCAAACCTATTAGAGGGCGGTACCACGCCCACTAGTAAAAATTTTTTAACTTCAGTTGCCCTTTCCTAATGTGATTCGTTATACAAAACAACTGTCTTGTATCTTATTGTGGAGCTTAGTTATGGCAATTTATTGGTTATCGATTAATGGCGTTTTGTGGGCGTGGCAGTGGTCCGATTACGAAGCTTCATCAAGATATCTCAATATTTACTGAATTAACTGCTTGAACAGACGGACTATATATATATATATATATTTTTCTTTTTTGTAAACTCCTTTCCTTTGTTAAAATTTATCTTTTTAACACAAAAAGAGTTATTGCACAGAAGCATGCAACACTTCCCGAAACTCTTATAGAAAGGTATGCTTTCCTTTTTTAACATATGCGAAATTTGCTTTTGGAAAAACCATAAACATTGATAGTCAGTGGTGACAGTACTAAGGAATTAAGCTATTTCATTCTTCCATAAGTCGTAAGAGTCACAATAACAGCGATGGTGAATTTATAAGTAATTGACCGTCACGGCTGACATAACAAATGTGAGTGTTTGGTGAACCAGCAGTTTCTTGTAGGGACTTTTGTATAAGTATACAAAAAAAAAACACGTATGAATGAATGTATATGTACGACATAATTATGAATTTCTGTTATCAACCCGAAAAAGTACAAGATTTCAATTATTATAATTTTCAACAGACAATATATTCTTTTACATACATATGTTTATGTATGTGTGTGTGTGTATTCAAAATCAATTTTCACATGTCTTCTGGTTAAACAATGGAGACTACTTGCTGATAATGAACCGGCGACAAGTATGCATTAGTTCATTGGAATGAGGTTGTCTTGTTTACTCAAAATTTAAAATGCCTCACTTCATCATAAGCTTAGTTGTTAAAGAAATGGGAAAGTAAAATATATTATACATACATACATATGGGTGTAGGTGTACTTATAGTACCCGAGTGCATTAACGATTAAAATAATTTAATCATTCTCTTAAACCTCTTAAAGTCGAGATAAATGTCACTCCCTTAAATAAAAATGCATATGCGTACTTGTTGTAAAAGGTGCTTTTTTAAGGTTCCAAGATTTTATTGAAAACAAAAAACAGAAAATGTATGAATTGGACAATCCCACACCACATCAGGCAGTAATGATCTATTCTTCGCTGAAAACATTTGCATGGTTATTTGCCAAAGTATTCAGTGTACTTTTATAAATTTCTAGTACATTCACTTATTTTGATTAAACGCCTCTAAACAAGCACCCTTTATTTATGTATTTATAAACATATGTATGTTCTTACATACCCTGAAGAGCATGTTATCTATGAGGAGAATTAAAATAAATCTCGAATGTATGTATGACATACATATGTATGTACGGTGTAAACCGAGTAAAAAGATAACGGCCGAGTTAAAGGAAGACTAATGAGAAAATGCCTTTGGCCTTAATATATTTCATGTATTCGAAAAAGTTATTATAGTTTGAAATTAAAGATTTGCTTAACTAGTTCTGGGTTTGCCTGCTGGGTATGTTCAAGCATAAATACACATACATACATGCATGCAAGCACAAGTACAAGTATGTACATATGTATGTTGGGTATGTGGTATGGTTTGAAATTGTCGTATCAACTTGCTTGAACACAGTTGAACGCGATCACCGGAACAGATCAAACGCGCTGGAATACAACAAATAAAAGCAAATTCATATAAAATTATTTAACTCAATAAGGGCATAAAAAGTTCTTAATTAATATTTATAAAAATACATCAGTTTAATTTTCTTGTGGTGAGCAATTTAAAGATACAGACAAACTTTAAGCTGGCATGGTGAATCATGACCGAAATCGAACTATACATTTTCAAGCACCCGCATATATATGTAGGTCGATTAGATATTTTATTATTGTCATTTACTTGCAAAACACTCTAAAGGTCCCATAAAAGCAGTGGTTAATTTGGTAAAGCTAGACTTTTTCCATTTGTACCGCGCTATGTCCAATGCTTCCAGTCTCCGTCGCTGCAAGTTGAAGATAGATTTCTACAGCTCGTAGATTGAAATTCTGAGTAGATATTCGACATTTATAGGAATGTTAATTTAGTGCCTGGTCTATAATTTCTTGTTAACAATGTATGTACATTGACTGTGGAGTTGCGGCGTTATAAATAGTATAATACATACCTATAATTGTTTCTTTGTCGGCTTATATGTAAGTTTATATGTATGTATACATACCGTTTAACTTATTTTTAATACTCCTTGCCTAGAAATCACAGAAAATTTAAATAATTTGTAGTTTTTAAAAAATTTTAACCGTGTTTTTTCAAATGCTAAAATTCCCTTATACAGTTTTTATATAGATATGTTTCCTAAAATCAGATACAATTTGCATAATCAATTGCTTTTCTTCTTCATTTTTGGAGAATACGTAAATAAATGGAAGTATTTCAGATAAGATAGATACATATACATATGTATAGTTTTGGAATCAAGGTGCACGCTTATATATAATTTACTATTTATACAAATACTTAATCTAATACATTAGTAACTTTGCGAATACATTTTCTCATGGATTCCATATACGTACATATGTGTTTTTGAATATATATAATATATACCTGAAAATCTAAAGGTGAACGTGTCGCTAAAAATTTAATTGATTCCTTTAATGTGTGATGCAACTGTAAAATTCGAGGACTATTCTAAATTAAGTAAACTATTGTACTATAGTTGCGAATTGTGCACGCACAAATGCATGTTTAGTTCACCGAGTTTACGTGCAGGGTTGCGAAGTTTTAAAATTACAAATTTTTATGGAAAATTCAAAATTGAAAATATTATTTTTTGATGTGAATGAACGCGAAAAAATGTTAATTATTTTTCACTCTTTTATTAATTCTTAATTATATGCTTGAGATTAAAATTTTATTTTTTGTATTTTTTAGTCCGCTGTTATTTTGTAATCTCAAATACGGGATAAACAAATTAAAAAATATCAAAAAAAGTTAAAAATAAATTTTTAATCCGGTATGCGGCACAGGCATCTGACAAATTGTAATGATTCTATATTCTTCTAAAAGAGGTAATATTATCGGTATTTAAATCAATTTATGTTTAAATAAATTAAGTAATTGAAACAAATTGGCAGACTCAAATATGAAATGAAATTAACTTCTACCTATGTGCTTACATTGACTGCTTAACTGCTCTTCTGTAAAGTAATTAAAAAAATAAATAAAAATAATAAGGAAGGGCTAAGTTCGGGTGTAACCGATCATTTTATATTCTCGCAATTTGTAACGATCAAAACCGGGAAAATACTGTCAGGAGTTTGGCAAAATTTATGTTACAAAATGTTGTGTAAAAATTCAAAAAGTATACAATCACATTTGATATCTTTTAACTTATATTATTGGTCATAGACTTACTAAGTTTCATTACTACATTTTGCTTTGTGTCTTAAGTCATTATGGAAACTAAGGTAATTCGCGGACCGGTTTTACACATTTTCGGCATTACACTATAGTAGAGGGTCTACGAAAAAGGACGACGTGATGTTAAAATGAAATAAAGCAAAGCGCTCAAATTTGATCATAAAAAGAAAACATAACCCTTTTAGACCAAATTTAAGTGGTTTGCTTTATTTAATTTTTGTTATGTAGATAATTTTATGTCATTTATGATATGAACAAAATGTCGGCCAAATTACCACCACGGCTCCGTTTGCATATCTCCACCCGCTAGCTATAGAGTGCTGAATGTTGACTTCGAGCTCCTCGAGCGTTGTTGGTTCAACATAATTTCAGAGAAAACTTACATGAAATGTGCTTAGACGTGAAACATGAGGCGGCGCACCGTCTTGTTTGATATAGAGATCGTCCACGTCGATTACATCAAATTCCGGGAGAAAAGTCGGTCAACATCGTGTTAAAACGCTCGTTATTGATGAAAACGATATTCTAAATAACGAATAACGAATAAATAAAAAAAAAGGCCCGATGATGCCGTCATACCACAATCCGCACCAAACGGTAAATGTTTAGGGATGTAACTGCGTTTCCTGAACCACACGAGGTTTTGACTCACCCTTATAGGGAAAATTTTGTTTGTTGACGAAGCCTGAGAATATGACTTTTCATTTTGCAGTAGCTACCGGACCCAAATACACGTTGGGTAATAATCTTGGTCAATTTTCAAGTGTTGTACTAAACGAAACCGAAGCAAACATGGCCGCCATGAGCTGTCAAAATGACGTTATCCCTATTGGTAGACGCTTTACCTATATCGAATATTATACGTTCACTTAATTTTGTAAATATGATAATAATGCTTATATATTGATCGATATATGGTATAAAACCAACCGGTAGTTTGAAATTCTTAAATTAAATATACATATGTAGTATTGACCCGATTGAATCCATTTTTAGACACAAAGATACACTGTTATTAGGAAGAGATGAGTTTTTGATTAACGACATTTTTTGGCGTGGCAGTGGTTCAATTCTGCTTATCTGCAATTCCTGATCTTATATGTATAAATATATATATATATATATATATAACTCTATATCTATATCTATATATATATATATATATATATATAACTCTATGTCTATCTCGATTAGTTTTAGATGGAGGAACGAGCACTTTAGAAAACTTTTTTATGATGACTTTTAGTTTACAATTAATGTACCCATTTCCAGACATACATAGGTACATACTTGAACATGCGTGGACATACATAAATAGGTATATGAGCGTGTCTTTTTGCCGGTAAATAAGTAAAACGTCGTGGATTACGTTATCATTGTAATTAAGTTAGTTTCGCATTGCTGCTACTGTCAAATAACCCACAAGTAATTAGTCTAGTAATTTATTAAATGCAAATAAAAGTCTATGCCTGCAAAATTACAAATAAGTTGAGTTTTTTCTCTTTTCAGCTCTTTCAGGGACATCAGTACCTCTTTCTCTTCACTCGTGACATGGCTGAAGATCGTGAACTGATTGCAAAGTATGGCAAGCCGATGCCATATGATAGAAATTTCCGAGGACCAGAATGGCGAAATCGAAGTTGCACAGATGTACCGTGTCTGCTGATTTTTATCCTATTTTTAGGCGGATGGGGTTTTATTGCACAATATGCAGTGCGCAATGGAGATCTTAATAAATTGGTTGTGCCAACGGACTCATTCAATCGTAAATGCGGAATCGATTCATCGGTGTTGGATAAAAAGTATTTATTTTTTTTCGATTTGGGAAAATGCATCGATCCAGTTGTACCTCTTACGGGCTGCCCTACACAACAAGTTTGTGTTAAAAGCTGTCCCACACAGACTTTTATCTGGGATAGAATGAAGAATAATCTCCCACTTGCTGAATTGAGGGAGCGTTTGATATGTCTGAGCGACGTTGACAAAGACAATCTTCGAACCTTAGATAACATGCAAGCAGCCATTGACCAAGAACGATGTGCGCGTGGATATATGAAAAGTGCACCATTCTTGAATCGTTGTATGTGGGAGCTTTCTCCTGAGTTGTGTGAACTGATACCCTCCTTCCTCCTGCCACGCAATAGACGCGAGGTAAATGGGTCAGAAAATGTTAGTTTGGTGGTTGGTGAAACACGAAAACTTCTCGATGCGTTAGTGGAAGATAACACCAATTTGATGGAAATGAGATTGGAAGCTCTCGCTTTGACAACAATGCCCGAAACCAGTGTTAAATCGAAGCAGCAGCTCGCTGAAGAACCCATAATTCAATGCCGCCGTCGTACCGAGCAGGCCGAAACCATCAAGCAAAAGGTACGTCAAGCTGACACGCGCCTGGCTAAGTTGATAGGTAACATGGTTGCACACTTCTACAACGGCACACATGACGCACAGCAGCTTGGGGAAGAGATAGTGGAAGATATTATGAACTCATGGTACATTGTGCTGATGGCTTTAATGTGCACTTTGGTTGCTTCTTTGATTCTGATCGCCTTGATGCGGTGGTTCGCTGCCCCGATTCTGTGGTTATCTGTTCTAGGCGTTTTGATCGGGCTTAGTTTGGGAATTTATTCCAGCGTTAAGCAGTATCGTTTTTGGCGTGGAACCGCATCTGTGCCCAATCATTCGATTAACTTGGAGGCAGCGGTAGAGAATATATTTCAAAAAGCTAACACTTGGTTATATTTAAGCATCTTTCTAAGCATCAGTTTTTTAATTATTCTACTCCTGGTAATTATTCTACGTACCCGCATCAATATAGCGATTGCGTTGACAAAGGAAGGTAGTAAAGCGGTGTCAAGCATTATATCAACTGTTTTTTTCCCAATCCTTTCGTGGATCCTTTTTATTTTGGCTGTTACTTTTGCGGTTGCAGTTGGTCTTTATCTAGGCACAATTGGTAACCCATCTTTCCGTATGATACGTCAATTGGACCCTAACAGCAAGACAGGTGTTTCTAGCGAGATTTGTGAATGTATAGGTGCTGCAAGTGAATATAAAGTTGGCGGACGTTGTGACCCTCAAATTTTTGAACAGAATTGTTTCGTTAATGTCGATCAGCATATTCCTTGTAGACAAACCTCTTGCAGTTTCGCTGAAATTGAGCATCCGCCATTTGTAACATGGTCCATTTGCTACAATGTGTTTGGGTTTTTTTGGTTGACATTCTTCATTGCGGCCTTTAGTGACATGGTATTGGCACTTACTTTTGCCACTTGGTACTGGACCCTCAGGAAGCGAGACGTGCCCTTCTTTACATTAGGACGGGCTTTCCGTCAAACCATCTTCTATCATCTTGGCACTTTGGCGTTTGGCTCGTTAATTCTTGCTGTGTGTCGCATGATACGCGTGGCATTGGAATATATCGATTCCAAACTGAAAAAATACGACAATACAGTAACCCGAGCTATACTCTGCTGCATGAAATGCTTTTTTTGGTTACTTGAGACTTTTTTACGTTTTCTGAACCGCAACGCGTACATCATGTGTGCTATACACGGCAAGAATTTTTGTGCCAGCGCCAAAGATGCTTTCAATTTGATCATGCGTAACTTCCTGCGAGTAATTGCTGTTGATAAAGTCACTGATTTCCTGTTCTTTCTATCGAAAATATTGTTAACGGCTGCTGCTGGCGTTGGTACGTACTTCTTTGTGGTACGTAGTCCACATTTAATACAACTGCACTATAACGCGGTGCCGGTAACGGTTGTTGTGTTAGCGGCTTTTATTATGACAACCGTCTTTTTTGGCGTCTACTCTATGGCGGTGGATACGCTCTTCCTGTGCTTTCTGGAGGACTGTGAACGCAATGATGGCTCGCCAGAAAAGCCTTTCTATATGTCGAAACAGTTAATGCGAATATTAGGCAAAAGAAACAAGTTACCACGTCCAATGAGTAGTAGTTAAGAAGCAACCTATACAATAGGAGTGCACAAAAGAGTTTGAAGTTAATTTTATGATATGGTTGGTTAGTGAGCAAATCTGTAGCATAGAAAGACATTTTGTGAAAAATACATTTATATATTTATATAGATATACTGGCTTTGAAAATATTCGAATCAGTGGAAACTAAATTTGGAAAGTTTTTGAAAAACTAAGAAAGGGTTGTGTTGAAACCAATGGCAATATACAAGTAATATAATATAAGAAAAAATGCAAGATTAAATAGATGTATATAAGTAAATTCAATATATATATATACACGCATACACATACATTATTTCGTTACAAATAATTACAAACAAAAATATTTTTTTTTACAATATTATAATAACAAAGAAACAATTTAAATAATGAGGAAGTTTTAAATTACACGTGGTACTCTTACCTACCATTGTCCCTTGGTGCTTGTTTCAATTGCTTCAAGTGATTTTTCATGCGATTTTGCTACATAGTGATTTATCGAAAAAATATACATGAATTGTATATCAATGTATGCCAAAATATTTATTAAAGCGAACTTATTGTTACATATAAGATTAAACATTTACAAATCACCTTATTTATATTCTATTTTTATGAAAGTAAATAAAGGATACATTTCTACAAATACACATGTATGTATGTACAAGGATGTATGTACAAACAAATTTTTCCTGATTTATTTTGTTCATATTATTGAATACGAAGATTTGCTCAACAATTTCAAATGAAAATACTGAATTAATTACTTATGTTTGGAGAGTGAAAATTGACTGAGTAGAGAGTGTAAATTAAAGAAGTCTAAAAATTTTGCTTATCAAAGGTTAAATATGTAATTAACACAAGTGAATAAGCATATAATTTTTAATATATTGCATTTATGTACTAAAATCGCGAAACATATTTATTATGCTATGAATTCATAACAAATAAAAGAGAAGGCACTGATATTTTTTGTGTGCTTAATAAAAATAAAGAAATACTTAATAAAAGGATGCTTCCTTGAAGAAAGAACCACGTGAGTAATATGTGACACGTATTTGCAATAAATAATATTGTAACGGATTTCTCGATAAATCGTCAACATGTAACTCACTCTTGAGTTCGATCAGTGGATTGTTAAATAAAAGTCCTTGCTAAAAACTTATCTTTTTTTTAATTCCAACAACTTAACACGTATTGCTCGTTATTTTTAATATCCTATATATGAGTACCAAATACATATAGAATCATTTGGTGATTACCGCATTCTTGAAAATTCTGTAAACTATTGTGAATAGGTAAAATTTTATTGTGAGTGGTAGAAATGACAATTTGCTTATGTTAATTTCCTAGAGAATATAAATTGATATAAATTTGGACAAATGCTACTTATCTCTTTATTTATAGTGTAATTAAGATAAAGATTAAATAAAAATGATTATTCCAATTCGTTGTTTCACATGTGGTAAAGTAATTGGCAACAAGTGGGAGTCGTATTTAGGTCTTCTACAAGCCGAATACACGGAAGGGTAAGTGTTTTGGAAATAATTTGAAATTTGCACACTCGAATATATATTATTTCTAGTGATGCTTTGGATGCTCTTGGTCTTAAACGATATTGCTGCAGACGTATGCTGTTGGGACATGTTGATCTAATCGAAAAATTACTGAATTATGCGCCTTTGGAAAAGTAGTTTTGTTTAGACAGAGCACATTTTTCCACAACTTACACTTTTGATTTAGAATAAAATATATGTATGTAGCAATTAGCAACGATTTATTATATATATTTCTTATCAATTCGTAAAAACTCTATTTTAAAATTGTAGACTTTTAACGAACGAGAAAGGCATAGAAGTAGTGCATGACATTTGCACCAAATATTATATTAAAGGTGTGTTTTTCGTGGTAGTGTCTTTGTCAGCATCCTGTATTGGCATTTATTGTTAATGCTTGTGGTTTTCTTATCATCTATATTTTATCCATGAACCATGGTTGACCATTGTTTTCTCGACGACGAGTTAAAATTTCGCAACCATTATCTGTTACCAATAGAGTTTGTTCAAATTGTGCAGAATAGAGCCCATCTCCTGTCACAGCTGTCCAGTTATCGGGCCATTGTTCATTTTTCGATACGCCTTCTGATATCATTGGTTCAATTGTGAAGCAATGCCCAGCTTTCATAACACCAACAGCCGAGTTTTCTAAATTAATATAAATTCATAAGATAGTTATATCATCGGTGCAGAAAAATACATTTGCTTTACATACTGGCATAGTGAGGTACATTAGGTGCAGTATGGAAAAGCCGATGGATGCCATGACCACAGTAGCTCTTCACAACGCTGAAACCATGTGGCGCCACATGTTTTTGTATGACGTTGCCAATTTCCCTATATTTTACGCCAGGTCTGATATAAAAACGTAGTTTTTAAGTACTCTTGAAACGCCTTATTTTTACATACCTCACTAATTCGATGGCTTTGCATAGTGATTCATAAGTGACTCGTACTAACTTCCTGTGCTTTTCAGAAACATTACCAACGAAGAAGGTTTCGTTAAGATCACCATGAAATCCGTGATGATAAACGGTAACATCAATATTACAAATATCACCATCTTGTAATGGACGCAAATCTGGTATCCCATGACATATTACCTCATTAACTGAGGTGCAACAAGACTTAGGAAAGTTGTAATAGTTTAGCGGTGATGGATAACAATCGCGTTCAATGGCGGCCTCGTGTACAAGTCTATCTAACTCGTCCGTGGTAACTCCGACTTCCACAGCTTTACCTGCCTCATCCAAACATTCTCGACCAAGTCTACTAGCTACGCGCATAGCTTCAATTTCGTCATCGTCCAAGACTTTAATTGAAGTGTTTCCTCGCATGGCCTCTTCCGATGCAGCCCGACCAGATGGATGATCTGCATAGTCTGGCCGCTCTATATTCTCGGGCGCATTGCGTTTAGGTGTATGTGGATATGGGCGTAACTTACCAGTAAAACGATAATGTGGCCAGGGATTGTAACCAGCTTCAGTGTTATCTACCTTTGGTTTTCCTGCACCCTCTAAAATTTTACAATTGTCCTTCAAATAAATAAAATAATATTCCGAATCAAGTATAGTATACCGGCCAGAGCATGGATAACTTTATGTTCCTTCCAGAATCCTTTAAAACAAACTTGCGAACAAAAAAAGGATCCTGGTATGCCCAACTTCAAGCAGGTTGGACATTGCAGGGTGGCTTCTTTGCCACAACCTAACGTTTCACATTTATGAGCCATTGTATAGCGCTATTTAGTAATTGAAATTAATTATAAAGTTATTAAAAAATAATGGTCTAAAACTACCTTATGAACTTAACCAATATAACTAAGATGTTGCAGCAAACTAAATTCTAATTGAGGTTGAGATTTGACATTTGTGCCCACTGTCAAAAGTAAATAGTTCTGGTCTTGGATAGAAAATGCATTATGTTGTGGAATCAACTCTGTATGGATGCTAACTTAGAGGAAAATAAAGTTCACGTCCCACAATGTATATGGCGTCGTATATAAGAATTGATCACATCAAAATTGACTGGTCCATTTTGATAGCAATTTACCTTTTACCTTTTAATATTGCCCATTTGTGATTAACAAAACTAATATTTTAATTTTAATTTCTGTGGGAAATAGGAAAGCTTTTAACATCATTAATATATATATTTAAAAATACTTTCATTTAACATTTCTTGATAAGATCAGGTACATAATTCCCTGCAAGCCATATCTCGGCTAATTACTCAACAGCGGTACCGGATATTTCTGTTGAACTTTATATTAGTTTCTCAAAATCTAATTGACAATTCTAACCGAAGCTCTTGTGAACGTGCGACTTGCTAGGTTGATATATTGCTGTTTAAATATAATATATCATTAAATTTTAATAAAGCAAACCAATTGATAAAGGATAGGTAGCCTCTTCATTGCCTGGAGATACTTGATGTTATTTTTATACTCTCGCAACCTGTTGTTATATCTTTACCTCTTATTAACCTTGTATATTGTATTTATATAAATAAAAAAAGTTCACTTTTTATAGCTCATAGCGAGTTTGAGGATCTCTTATTTGTTGAAATCGTATCTGCCAAAAGAAAGATATCAAATAGTAATAAGAAAATACTCGATCGAAAGGAGACAAATGAGGTTCTAATTTTGGGGTTTCCGGTGATCCTAAACGATATGTTCTTGCATGTTCACGTGTCTGTGAACTAGTCGACTTTTTTGTTCTTGCGCTTATTAACCAAACGCTTCATTGCACAGAATCAATCCAAGTGCAACCCATGCAGCAAAATACATAACTTTATCAAAACAAAATTCAGAGCATTTAGCCATTTTGTGCACCCGCTTTTTTATTTAAATCCCTCACTCTTTCTGATTAATAATCTCAATGAAATATTAAGTTTTTTTGATAAAATGAGATAAGAATATACTAACTACGGATCATGTTAAACAAGTATTGGCAACGAACTAACTTACACACCCATGCTCCCGTGCATGTTTAGACCATATGTCTGTGAATGTGTGTATATGTGAATGCATACATGCGCATTTACCGGCGAATTCATTGATAATAAAACAGTTATCTGCGAATTCGTGTATTTTATTACATGCCGTCATATCCTACCTAACGTGAATATGTGTAGGTATTTGTACATCCCAATGTACATATGTAAGTAGTAAGTTCTGTTCAAAATCCATTCAAAGCAAATTTACACTTGCGCTTTCAAATCTTTACCATTTGCAGCACTCGCTGAAAAACTACGAAACTCCACATCAGCTGGGCCTGACCGATTGTCTCACTGCTCCCTTCACATTGGCCCACCAACGGTATTGTCAATAACCGTGATTCTTTTTCCTGAAATCAGGGGGCGCTTTATCCGTATCGCATCGCTGAGAAACAATATGCGTATTCGAACATCCATGGATACATATGTATACAAATGCGCCATCGTCGCAAATCGTCTGCCTCGTATGGCGAGTAGAAGTTAAATCGTCAAAACACAAAGACCGATGTCAACAACAAAAGCACCGACGAGGAGGAAAACGAACCTGTCAACGCTCGCTCGGATTTTGCAGCATCTTCTGAACAAATTTCAGTCGAGTTTAAGCAGCCGAGTGCGACGGATGGTAAAACGTAGAAACGGAAACGGAAAAAACAGGCCAATAATTGAATATAACTATGCTAATACCCATTTTGTGTGACAAAATTGTTCAAGTGAGGGTACATAAATATGTATTCAAATAGATATGTACTACGTGTGTTTGAGTGAAGTATTATTCATACCTAGGTGAGCATTCATGCGGATGCTTTCAAATTGTGAGTGTGTGCAAGCGTGTAACGGAAACGCTTACGGCGCCATTTTGATTTCTCCTGGTGCATCAGTTGAATTTGAAAAGTGAAAATCTAAAAGTGCCTGACATCGTGAATGAAATTGGAAACTTTACCAGCTTAATTATTTGATTTCTGTAAATAATCGACTACAGGTATATACATACTATGCGTATACTCTTCTATACAGCGTGCTGTTGCTATTTACTAAGCAAATATACATACATATGTACATATGCATATAATCGTATATAGGTATATACATGTGTGTTTACAATGTTTTTATTTGAAACATCCATATATATTGTACAATTATATGTACATATATGCAGTTATGTATTATATACTTATGTATGGATGTGCGTATATGTTTATAATTTAATATATTTTAAGTGATAATATTAATTGCGGCGGCATGGCATTTGCTGGTACGCGAGCATGACAGCCGAGTGGCCACAGCGACAGTTAGAAATTGGACAGACGACAGTTCGAACGGCAGAATGTTTATGCGTATATTGTGGAAGTTACGTTGTTTGGTTTTTATGTTAACTCATAGTCAGCTTGGGTGAATGTAGTGTCTGCTGTCAACAGCTTATCAGTAGCTCGCCGCCATTACCGTTTCTGCCTCTGATATGTTGGCTTTTCAACATCTCCCTGCTGTTGTTCTTCTTATTATTGTTTCGATTTGATTTACTGCAAATGCAGTCGAGAGGTGCGTCTAAAAATAGTTTGAAAAGTGACACGCGGCCATTTTATTTCCCCATTTTTTACATTTATTTTATAATGTGCGTACATATACATATGTACGTATGTATGTTGTTGGCGATTGTCTGTTTTGTTAAATTGCTCGGATTTTTTGTCTTTAAAGAGAATGCAATTGTAATGCATGATTATGCTCATATATACATACATACTGAGATAGATGTGGATTTATTTTCCTTTGTTTATATTGGATTTAAATTAAAAGGTGTGCGGCCAAGCACTCAGCAAAAAGGATTAATTGTAATACAAAAGAGGAACAACAAAAGCACAATAGAATCAAAAATTTACTGAAAACTGAATTTATGTCAAGAAGCAATCACAAAACAAAATATGCTCACCTTTTGCTCATTTGCGTAATTAATTCAAGCAAGAGACGAATACAAGTCGATAATGATGGTTCAATAAATCTTTGAAAACAACTCTTTGAAGATCTCTTCAAATATTCTAACTCTAAGTGCAATTGTCGCTGACAGTTTGTTCACATTCGGTGACCCATATGTTCCATTTTTATAACGATTATTTTATATTAAAAAAAAAACAATATCAAGGACACTAGCAACAACTTTTATACAATTTTTAAATGTCATCCACATTTTTGGCCGAGTCTAAGACACGAATTCGCCTTGTTCAATTTCTATGTTTAAAAGCTCAATTAAAATGCTCTAAATGGCATTAAGATGATGCTTCTAATGGATGCCATGGGCTTCAGCAAGCCTTCTCAAGGCTTCACTTTTGATAGAAAAATGGGTCCTTATCTGCAGATTTGTTCGTATATTCAGATTTGGTAAGCATTCAAGTGCTTGTATGTGTAAAGAGTTTGTATTTTTGTATCGTATATCCAGTATATCACCCCGTCCTCACAATTCCGTCACATTTCAGTAAATTGACTTAACGCGGCGTCTTTGGTGCACCATAAATGTATCGAGTATTACGAACTGAAGCAATGCATGACTTTGAGTTCTTTGAGTTTTGTTTCACTTTTTCCATTCTATTTGTTGTTTCCTTCCTCTTAGACTTCTTGTTATTGCACTTGGACTCCTGTAGCAGCGCGAACTCGTCATCATGATCATCATTATATTCATCGTTGTTGTCGTCGTTTTATTTGTTGTGCGCCGCGCTTGCCTTATGAGCCGTGACGGCAGTTCATCGACAAGTGTTTACCATATTGCAGAGGAGGCCACTTCAGAATAAACATGAGTGTAGAAAGAAGAAATTAAAAAAATAGGAAATTCACATTATGCAAGTCGTAGTTGCATAAAGTGTGTACTTGGATACAAAAATTTTAAAACCGCTGGAATCATCAAAATTATTTATAAAGCTTAACTGCTAAATTCAAAAATTCCAATGTGCAATAAGTTGAGTTTATAAAGTCAGAAAACTGAATAAGCTCACGTGAGTGCAAGAAGTTTTAAAATATTTATACACTAAAACTAAATCTGATTGAAATTCCTGTTTTCAATACGGATGCTCGTATAAAATTATATACATTATTATTTGTTATTGCATTAAAATATTTATTTGAAGATAATGATAACTTTAAAGCCTCTGCAATCGTTGGCATGGGTTCAGCTGAATCGCTTGCCCCGTTGTGTCAGTTCAACAAACGTGTCTTTAACACGGTATATACTTTGCAATTCATTTCGTTTTACTTGTTTCTCTCTGCTTCTGAATGCATAAATTTTACGTCAAGTACCGATTATATACAATACTCGACTTTAATCCTTAAGCTTGTACATAATGTTGTACATATTTACTTATGGTATGTATGTATGTATATATTCGGGTAGCCATCATTACTAATGGCCTTCAGCATTTTTCGGATATTATTTTTTGTATACTTGGTTTTGCCTTTGCTTCCCATTCATTCCCCATTTAATAATCAAAATTTTGCTGAGTATGCAATTCTAATGACAATTCGGCTTGAATGGTTTGGCTGTTTGTTTTGCTCTTCACCGTTTATCCCATCGTTGACAGTAAATGATGCCAAGATGAAAATGTTAATGTGGCAGGAGTAAAGTAATTGATTGATATACTCACTTAAAACTTGGTTAGAATTCTATTTGCCTAAAGTTGTTGTGAAATATTTTCGCTGTCACTTTCCGTTTAAACCATTTTTAACTTCCTTGTTGAGTAAGAGCTTTAGCTCTGCTTTATCCAAGCGAAGTCGAAAGCATTATCTAACTTGGCCAAGGAAAGGATAAATATAAGAATACTTAAGTATGTGTACATTGATTGAGGACAGGCCACAGATTTATAACTTTTTGTCAACAATGATTAAAAAGTCGATAACGTTCAGACTTGACAAAAAAAATTTGTTATGGAGTAATAGGTTCCACGGTCATAATGAATAGATTCATTTTATATATACATACATACCTATGTATGTACTTATAATTACAACATTGACCGAACATTCGGCCGTGAAATGAACAAGTTATATGTTAAGTGCTTTACAACTATGGCAATATCAACCGCAAGCCCAACTAGTCACCGACAGAAGTGTATCAGTTTCATACTAGCTCAAAACAGATACACAAAAGATTATAAATGAAATATAATCTTAAGAAAAAATTTTATTTGGGTTTTGCACCTGAACACCTCTATGTTAGTGGAGATATCGTGATAAACTTGGTTAAAGATAAAATATAAATAAATACATACGTTTAATTTTATATAAAGGATCACAGCAGAGAAAGGCATCTGTAGATTAATTTTGTTTACGCCTCGCCCTGGCATTAGCGTATTTGCTTTGGCAATAGTCAACTCAAGAATCAATAAGAATATCAAAACAAGATTAGACATGAACTATATGAGCTATATGAGAACTCTGATTCAATAATGGTCCAAATCTTTCTTCTGCCGCTTAAACAAAATAAAACGATTTTCGTTCTTCATGTTGTTTTTTTCTCGTATATATTGGACAATATTTTAAAGTGTTAAAATGA